CGTTTTCTATTTACTTTTTTCTACTTTTTTCACTCTTTTTCTGTTCTGCTCGGTGCCTCTGAGGGACCGAGCAGAACAGCCGAGCCAAATGCCGCTCGGCGGCATTCGGCTATTCTCTCACTGCTGTTCGGGATCTTTCAGAATAGCCCGAACAGCAGTGTGAAGCCTGCCGGAGGTTCGGCTCAGCCGATCCAGATGTTGGATCGGCTGAGTCGAACTCCTTCTGCACTTCGGATCAGCCGAACATGCTGAGCATGTTCGGCTGATCCGAAGCCACACGAAGCAAGCCGATGTACGGCTGATTTCAGCCGATGTACAGCTGAAATCAGCCGTACCAGCCTGAAGTGAATAGCCGAACAGTGTTCGGCTCACTTCACTTCTGATCGGTCATTCACTCGGCTGCCCTCGGCAGCTTTGTGAATAGACCCCTATATATGTTTACATGCGTACAGTGTTTAGTGGCATAAGTCCTCATTGCACACTGCCACAAAAAGTAAAAACAATGCAAAATGTTTTTTGTTTACCGATTGGAATGCAGGTATATTTTTAATGCATTCAAACCTGTAACAGAAAATTAAAAAAATCTGCGCCGAGTAGTTACATTTTACAAATGTATATGTGTAAGGCTCCACTCACACCTAAGCGTCAGCATGCCAAGGTTTTTTTTCAAGCTTTTTCTGAGAGTTTAAGCTGCGTTTGTCCATGCATTTTCTTTTTGCAAAGAGGAGGAGGGCTGTTTCTTGTGCGACAAACAAGCGCCACAAGCGTTTTTTGTAGCTCATGTAATTTTTCCAGCAACAGGCATTTTGTTGCACATGACAGTACACTCAGATGTGAACATGACAAATTGAAAACAATGGAATTCCTTTGCTTGAGCATTGTAGAGCTTAACCCTTTCAGCTACAAAATGCTTATGTGTGAATGGGGGCCAAATGAAGTGCAAGAAAATTACATTAAAACAGAGCAGGAGGAATGGAATGAGAATTTTACACATTTAAACGCGTACATGTCTAATCGCGATCATTACACCAGATCTTTTTTGGCCAGAGAAAAAAACCTGGCTATATGATCAGTAGATTTCTTACAGCATTGTGCATGTAGCCTATGTACGTAAACTAATTCTATTGGCTAGAATATCCAATCATTCTTCCCACTATGTGCGTTTACTTACATATGTGCATAATTATGACAGTAAGCTCCTCTCCAAATGCAGTTTTTATTTTTAAGCCCCTGAACGCTGCTCTATAATACAGAGTTAAACACCACAATGTGCATGGACGCATTGATTAAAAAAGAGCTGACTGCAGAGGTGTAAAGAAAAAAAATGCCACGAAATGCAGCATTTATTCTGTCCATGAGGCCTTAAAGTCCCCTTCTATATTTTGCTGAGAATGTCTGTGCCAGCACATGCTTTACGCTTACATTTCCTTGGCAACAAATGTTTTATCTTTAATATAGGCAAACACTTAGGATTTGTGTTTACAATGATTGCTTGCATTTGGGGAACTCATTTGCCTTTGGCAGCTGCCACAGTTTTATTGTTGACTTGATACTCCAGCTCCAAATATTCTGTTTGTAAGTTCATGCCAGCAAAAAGGCAAACAGTGTTGTTCTACATGCCGGTAAATACCTGCAAAGTATTCTCATTTACATTAAAATAACAGTTACATTGCACTAGAAGTATATGTGTGCCAGTGTTTCCTCCTAACCACGGGGCTCCGACATATGAAACTGGAAGACAGTACAGGAAATCAAGAATTTGGCAGGATAGGCACTGTACGTCAGGTGACCTTGACTCTAATGCTGGGCACACACCTTACAACCCTCGCAAGACTTCTGTCTTGCGAGGGTTGTAAGGTACTTTAAAAAAACGTACGATCTGCCTATCTTGGACAGGCAGATCAAACTTGCGATGATCGCAAGCCATGCCCCCATGAGGGACGGGCTTCCGATGACCGCAATGCCGAACGGGCAGTGTGCGCTTGCTCACACCGGCCCGTCCGGCTTTTATCTTACGAACATGCTACACACCCGCCGAACATCGTACGATGCTCGGCGGGTTTTTGAACATATTCGTAAGTTAAAAGTCGTGCGACCTTACAGTAGTAGAGGTCGCACGGCTTCCACACACCTTACGATAATCGTACGATCGCGGGATTTCCCGCGATTATCGTACGATTATCGCAAGGTGTGTGGGCACCCTAAGGCTGGGTTCACACCTAGGCGTATCGAATATGCACGTTTGTCGCGCGTTTCGCGCAGCGCATTTTTATCGCGATTTGCGGTAAAAACATGCACGACAAACGCGCGTTTCCGAGGGCTACCTGGCTGTATCCCAATGGATACGCGTGGCAAATACGCTCCAAAGAAGCTCCTGTACTTCTTTGGGCGTAGGGCGTTTTGTACCGCATTCATACGGCCTGTAATACGCCCAGGTGTGAACCATACCCATAGGCAATAATGGGATTTCGGTGTTTGAGCGTTTTGCAGAGCGTAGGAACGCGCTACAAAACGCCCAGGTGTGAACCGGGTCTAAGGCTAGTTTCAGTTCTCCATGCAATACCATTGAAGTCTATGGAGTCAAAAACACGTGTTGATGCACCAAAAAAGCACTGACACTAAAGTGACACTAAACTCCGGAGTTAAACCTTAAAAATGCATTCAAGTTCCTTAACTATTGACAAATTTATCTTATTTGTGTATCACTCAGCAGTAGAACTTCAAATCATCTCTGAATTGGTGCTGACCCTGTCCTTCCTTCTGGAGGGTGGCTACTTTTGTTTCCCATGATCCCTGTGTGTGTGTTGTAAAGTAGCCACTGCTCCAAGCTCCCTCCCGTGATAGAGTACAATCTCACGTTTAGTTCACTAATTTGTAATGAGATTATAGTCCATCACCAAAAAATGTAAAATGGTAGCCTACCTCCCAGGCTTGCTTATCCTGGTGCCCATGCCATTATTGGCCCTTTTTGTAAATTACTGTTCTAGGGTGACACCGCTGTCTTACTGATATTGCAGCACAAGCTGACATGCTGGCATGTTCATTTTAATTTCTTACTGAGACCATCTCAGTATCAGAACAACCAACAGATCTGCTGACATGCAGACCATGATGAGCTACAGTGCACTGCAGTCAGGGCCGGACTGGCCATCGGGCATACCGGGCACTTTCCCGGTGGGCCGGGCCGTACATAATCAGCCTAATGTTCGGCCCGTCCCGGCCCGCTATGCCCGGAGCTGCTGGCCGCTGAAGGGGGCGGGAAGATGGTGCAGTCGGATGAGCTGCGGAGGGGATCGTGGCAGGCAGTGCTGAGGTCTCTACAGCTGCGACCCGTCCTGTCAGCTCTCTCCTCCCGGCCGCTGCAGCTACAAGGCATCATGCTGGACTGGAGGCTTCCCCTGAGACCAGAAACCCCCCCACCGCTGGCCTCTGCACTGTAAGTCACACCGCTGACCTCTGTACATCACAGCGCTGCACTCTGCGTTGCACCGCTGACCTCTGCACTCTGCATTACACCACTGACCTCTGCGTTACAAGTGACCTCTGGACCTCGGCAATTAAATTTTTCTAATTGATTCGGCTGTGTTACGGTAGGTCCTGCGCAGCAGCCTTCTGTGGAACCACACGGGGCCTTCTTACAGGGCTGCCCATCTTCCCCTTCTGAGACCCTTTGCCCGAGACTTCAGGCTGGTACCCCGGAGCAGAGCGGCAGCACAAAGTATGTACCAAATTCATATACTATTATTCTGCATTGCTGTATAATGTATTGCTTGGATTTTTAGTCCTCTATAGCTGATGGTATTATTCTGCATTAGAGTGTAAGCTCCTCTGTACAGAGGCTGATGTGACTGGCTGATGTGACTTCTCTGTACAGCACTGTGGTATATGTCAGAGCTTTATAAATGTATAATAATAGTGTATTACTGTGGGGGGACATTAGAGTGTAAGCTCCTCTGTACAGAGACTGATGTGACTGGCTCAGTGTTCTCTGTACAGTACTGCGGTATAGGTCAGAGCTATATAAATGTATAATAATAGTGTGTGACTGTGGGGGGACATTAGAGTGTTAGCTACTTTAGTGCAGAGAAGCCAGTGAGATTCGATTCTCTATAGCAATATGTCTGTGAAGGTTCTCATTCATCCAGGTCATGGTATATCTGTAAAAAATAAGTCAAGGCAACTGGACTTTCTGTATTTTTCTTGAAGATGTTTCACTGCTCATCCAACCAGCTTTCTCAATTCAGAATCTTCTGAATTGAGAAAGCTGGTTGGATGTCCAGTGAAACGTCTTCAAGAAAAATACAGCAAGTCCAGTTGCCTTGACTTATTTTTTACAGATATTCTCTATAGCAAACTTTCTATATTGTTGCAAGGTTTGTGTTTTGGTTGTAGCAAGGCTTGTGCGTCAGCTGTAGCCCTCGGGTACTTACTAGTGGCCGGCCCTGCCCCTCGATTGCACTTCTGTGTTTGGCTCCGCCCCCTGTTGTGAGGGGTGGGGCCTGTCGGTTGCCACGTGATTGGGCTGCTCAGTCTAAAATGCCTGGGCCTATTTTTTGCCCCAGTCCGGCCCTGACTGCAGTCATCCAGAAACTGGAAGTCAGCATACAGAGCAGTAGTGATGTGAATAGTGCTATCATTGATACCCAAAAAGGTATTTTTAACAAGGATTAAAAAAGGGCAATGGTCATTATTTAAAATGTTAAACTATTTGAAGGTGAGCTCCTGTCTCCTGAGCCAACTTATGAGTTTATTTTGTGCTGTGTGACTTCAATGTCCAATAGGGAGTCTCAGGAGGTGGGAGAGGTTGGACCAAGCTTGGCTTTACAGGTAAATCAAGATTTACCTATAAGTTCAACTGTCTGCATCTCTGGATCCTCTGGTTTTCACCGAAAGGGTTATGTTGATCTTTAGGTTATTATATTATCTTGTGTTACGAATAAAATAAATAACTTTGAACATGGAAATCCCATAAATGTGCTCACTCGGAGGAAATGTTAATGTTAGGAATATGCCTTCAATTTGATAGACTGTATGACTTCTGAATGATTCAAAAAGTGTCTTTTTTTTTTTAGTACTTTCACCAAGGCATTTTTGACTTCTTTGTTTCTTAAACTATAAATGAGAGGATTAAGTGCTGGAGTGACGACAGAATAAAAGACTGATACAGCTTTGTCCATCTCGTAATTCTCTTCAGAGGATGGACGGACATACATAAAGATCACGGTGCCAAAAAAAATGGTCACAACAGAAAAATGGGATGTACATGTGGAGAAGGCTTTGGAGCGGCCAGATGAGGAAGCTATTTGAAAAATGGTAGATATGATAAAAACATATGACACTATAACAAGGATTAAGGAGCCAAGTACCACCACAGCTGAAATGGTTAGGACAAAAGTATCTAAGAAGACTGTATCAGATGATGAAAGCTTTACCAGTGGGCCGACATCACAAAAAAAATGGTTGATGGTTTTTGAGCCACAAAACGGCTTCCAAGATAGGACTATAGTGGGTACTACAGGAACCATGCATCCACTGATCCAAGATCCAATTACCAGCTGGAAGCAGAACTGTGTGCTCATGATGTTATTGTAACGAAGAGGGTGGCAGATGGCAAGATAACGGTCAAATCCCATGAGAGCCAGAATAAAGAATTCTGTGGTGCCAAACAGAAAAAAGAAATACATCTGAGTGATGCAGCTATTAAAGGAGATAGCCATGTTTCCAGAAATGAGATCAGAGAGTAGTCTGGGTACCGTAACTGTGGTGTAACCTATCTCAAGGAAAGAGAAATTGTTTAGGAAAAAATACATAGGGGTTCTTAGAGAGGCATTGGTCCTACTCAGTGAGATTATGGTGATGTTTCCTAAAAGGGTCAACATGTAAACCAACAGAAAGAAAGTAAAGAGTATGAGGTTTATGTCTCTTTCATTAGTGAATCCAAGGAGCAGGAACTCCACTGCCCAACTTCCATTCTCCAGAGCACATCTTGCATAGGAGTCCGACTGCAAAGGGATTCAGAAACATTTTTTTTTGATGAATGTAGAAAATCTTCTAAATGACTGTGTCGCTATTAAGGCACCCTACAAAAGAAGGTCAAGAATACCCCCTTGTACAGCATTGCAGTGTTTATGTTTACAGTGAATGCAGTACAACATTCCTTACAGAGAGCATTCCTAAGGTCTACTCTAAGAGGCTAAGTGCTAGAGGTTGAATGGGCTCGGCACCCTTGAACACTAGGGTATATATTTATAAAGCAGTGAATGTGGATTTCACCAAGCATTCATTGCAAGTGAATCGTCCTGGTACATGTGTTTTAAAGGACAGTGCCTGATTGACTTGCACTGAATTTTTGGTAAATCTCACATTCCATATATAATATATATATATATATACTCTTACCCCCGATACCGGAACATTCCGGTCAAAGGTAGATCTCCCTTTGACTGGCAGTGCTGGCAGGGAGCATGGAGCTGGCTTCCTGGCCAATCAGGAAGCCGTGTGGTGGGTTATGAGACGCAATAAGTGAATCTGGCTTCCTAACCAATCTGAAGACCGGGCAGCGCGTCGTGACTTGCCTCCCGGCTTCCTGATTGGCTAGGAAGCTGGCTTTACTTGTTGGTAGGTAGCCTGGCTTCCTGACCAATCAGGATGCTGGGCAGCACGTCATGACCTGCTACCGGGCTTTCTGATTGGCGAGGAAGCCAGCTTCACTTGTTGGGAGGGAGCCTGGCTTCCTGACCAATCAGGATACCGAGAGACGGGTCATGACGTGCCGTCCAGCTTCCTTATGGGTCAGGAAGCCAGGCTGTCCCGCAGTTTCGCGAGGGAAATGAATCTGGTGTTCTTTCGATACAACATCGGCTTCCCAGGCAATCAGGAAGCCGGGTGGCAGGTCATTATAATCCGGGCCCATGGATGCCGTTATCGGTATTCGTTATCGGCGAGTACCGGGGGAAATAATGTTACACATAGTACACATATTTCTTTTTTATAGTGCTCAAAGATTGGAGATATTTATTTAGGAAAAGGAAGATTAACAACTGAAAAAATTTAATAGGGAATATCTTTTCATGTCAAACACTTGCCTTTCAGATGAATGCAGATGCTAGATTCAATTTGATTCTATATGACCCCGCTCATATGGAAAATGCAGGTCAATGGCTCAAAAATACAGTAGGCAAGACTTTCTCTGTCTCAATCACATTCTTTGCTTTGGCATGAACTGCCCCACTGAAAACTATGATCATTCTCAGGTACCTACATAGCAAAACACATGAAAGTACACTAGGAACGTACATTCTCTCAGGCCCTGAGAGAATAAGAAAACCTAATCAGTTTACCAGCACAGTTGTGAAAACGGGACTAATACTTAAAATGACACTAAACTCAGGAGTTAAATCTTAAAAATACATTAAAATACCCTATTAACAAAATTATATCTTATGTGTGTATCACTCAAATGAGATCATCTCTGAATTGGTGCTGACACTGTCCTTCCTTCTGGAGGGTGCCTACTTTTGTTCCCCATGGTCCCTGTGTGTGTTTTAAAGTAGCCAAAACTCCAAGCTCACTCCTGTGATGGACTATAATCTCAATACAAATTAAACACATCATAGTGTATCCTGGAAGTGAGCTTGGAGCGGTGACTACTTTACAACACACACAGGGACCATGGGGAACAAAAGTAGCCACCCTCCAGAAGGAAGGACAGTGTCAGCATCAATTCAGAGATGACTTGAGGATCTACAGCTGAGTGATACACAAATAAGTTATATTTTTGTTAATAGTTAAAGTACTTGCATACACATTTAATAGTTAATACCTGAGTTTAGTGTCACTTTAAATTATTCACGGTGGATTTTGAGAATCACTCCAAAATGAATCCACAGATAACTAAATAATGACAAAATAAATTGATGAGTGAAGCATGGCTGTTTCATATCATATTAGGTCATGTTGTGTTATGTAATAGATTTATCATTCTTTTATTATTTTACTATTGCAATGATTGCATGTTATTGTATTTCTAGCCATTATTTATATTCTGTATATA